TCAAGTGCGAGTGTGGTGCATGTGTGTGGGTGAATGCATGCTTTAGTGCATGTGTGAGGACAGCTTGTTGAAGTCACTTCTCTCTTTACACCATATGAGTCCCAGTATTGAACTCAGGTCTACCTTGGTGGGCAAGTCCCTTTGCTGACTGAGTCACCTCACCAGTCCTGCACCCAGATGTTTATGTGGGTACAGGGGTTCAAATTCAGGTCCTCCTGTTTGCATAGCAGGTACTTTGCCCACTTAGCTGTCCCTAGCTCTGATACTTAAGACTTCAAAAGAGAGCTGTGAAGCTGGAGAAAGAGCCACAGGAAGTATATTCTGGTAGAATGGAGCCCGAACGGGGACACAACTTGAGTTCTTTGGCCTCATCATTTCCATTGGCCTGTAAGGTGACACTGCCTGAGTAGTGAATGAGGTGACATTTAGGTAGGAAAAAATCTCCAAGAGAGGAGAAATGACCCAGCTTTGTTTTTTAGAGCTTTCATTGTTAAAATATGTCAACTTAAAAGGATCTTGCCGATAAAAGCAGATAAAAGCAATCTGGCCAGATTGCTCAGTGGTTAAGAGCACTGACTGCTCTTCCAAAGGACCTGGGTTCAAATCCCAGCACCCACATGACAGTTTAAAATTCTCTGTAACTCTGGTTTTAAGGAATCCAAAACTTTCACACCAATGCATATAAAATAAAGTTAGATAAAAGGATCTGATTTCAGGCCAGGTATAGTGTTCCATGCCTTTAATCCCAGACCTCAGGAGGCAGAAGCAGGTGGATCTCTGAGTTTGAGGCCAGCCTGTTCTACAGAGCGAGTTCCAGGACAACCAGGGGTACACAGAGAAACCTTGACTTGAAAAACAAAAACAACAACAAACCAGCCCCCCCCAAAGGTTATGATTTCAGTAAATCACTCTTGATAGGAAATTTAAACTTATCTCCAGATATTGTTTATGAAGAACAAAACAGTGGGTGGTAGTCAGACTGTAATCCTAGCATCAGGAAGTTAGAAACAGAAGTTCAAGGGTGATTCGGGACCCTGTCACTCACAAACAAACAAATCTTGGTCAATACTGACGAATAGAAAAACCAACATCAATAAACACATATTCAAGGTAACTATCTATCTTAAACAAAAACCCTGAGCCCAGCAGTTACAAATGCCTGCAGCTCTTCCTGAGGACTTGGGTTTGGCCCCTAGCACCAATGTCAGGTGGCCTATAGCTGCCTGTAACTCCAACTCCAGGCCATCTGACCCTCTCCTCTGACCTCCAAGATCACCTCTACACACATGGCATACAATCACACAAGCAAACATATATGCACATACATTTATTAAAAATTTAGCCAAAGTGCAACCAACCTTGAAGAACCTGGTTGAGGAAATGCTTCATCATGTAGATGGCTGTGGTGTCCTCTGTCTTTATGTCACTATCTGTGAACCAGCCATTCTCCGAAATCAAGATTCGAGGGTTGTCATATTCTAATTTAATCCAGTTCAGCACCTGTCTTAAGTTGAGTGATACATTTTGTCCCATTTTCACTACAGTGTTCGAGGGCCTGAAATTGTTGGGCCCAAAGGAAAAGGCAAAGAAGTCAGCTGTGCCCCTCACCTCCTCCTTCTCTGCCTCAGAGAACACTGGCATGGTGGACAATGTTTTCATGAACTCAGGGTAGTCGCCGTCTGCATGGATGGGGTTGGCAAACCACCCAAGCACAAAAGCCATAGAGTGCTGGCAGCTGATTGTATCGGCCATGTTTTCTGTTTTGTTTGGTTCTATCCAGTGGGACCCCAAGGTAATGGACAGCAAACCCTTCTGATGGGGGCGGAAGTTTTTGTCGTAGTTATGCCACACTTTCGAATGAGCCTGGTGGGAAAGAAAATATCATTGGTCTTTAATGTTCATTTTTTGTTTGTTTGATTTTGGTTTTTGGTTTTTTGAGGCAGGGCTTCTCTGTGTAGCTTTGTAGACCAGGCTGGCCAGAGGTCTGCCTGCCTCTGCCTCCCAAGTGCTGGGATTAAAGGCATGTTCTTTACTATTCTTACTCACTGGGGTTGTAACAAGGTTAGTAAATCCTGGACCGTTCAAAAAATGTTTTTATTACATTTACTTATTTATGCATGTGTGTGTTTTTGTGTGTGTGTGTGTGTGTGTGTGTGTGTGTGTGTGTGTGTGTGTGTGTGTGTGTTTTCATGCACGTGCCAAGACAAACATGTCCAGGCCAGAGAACAACCTGGGGGAGTTGGTTTTCTCCTTCCACGATGTGGGTCTTGGAAAACAAATCCAAGTCATCATTTACCCGATGAGTCATTTAGATGGCCCCAACACCCATCTTTTCTCCATGAGTTCTGGTAATTAAATTCAAGTCCTCGTGCTTGTGTGGGAAGCAGTTTGCTAACTGAGATATTTCCTCAGCCCCCGACTTTGGTCCTAATGTAGAAGTCCAGGACAGTGCAGGCTGCATAGTCTGTAAATGGATGACAGTAGAGTCCACGAAGGGGATGTTGTGAGGGTTGGATTAACACTGTAAATAACTTTAGAACAGCTGGGCCGTGGTAGTGGGTGCCTGTAATCCCAGCACTCAGGAAACAGAGACAAGCAGATCTCTATAAGTTCGAGGCCAGCCTGGTCTACAGAGGGAGTTCCAGGACAGCCAGGGCTACACAGAGACACCCTTGCTCAAGAAACCAAAGGGGAGGAATTTGGAACAGTACCTGGCAGGGGTTAAGCTTTGTATCAGCCTTAGCTGCTCCTATTGTTATTATTATTTTTTAAACACTTATTTATTTATTATGTATACAGTGTTCTGCCTGCATGTATGTCTGTACACCACGCCAGATCTCATTATGGATGGTTGTGAGCCACCATAATGCTGGGAATTGAGCTCAGGACCTCTGAAAGAGCAGTCAGCACTCTTAACCACTGAGCCATCTCTCCATCCCCTATTATTATTATTTCACATTGTCAGTTGTGTTCTCTTGTAGTTTCAGATCTACTTAATAGATATTTACTGAGCACTTATTCTAGGGCTGAAGCAGGCTTAGAATCAGGCTCTTGAGAAGGTTTTTACTAGGAAGGATAAGAAAAGGTGTGTGGGGCTGGAGATACGGCTCAAAGATTAAGAGCTTTGGCTGTTCTTCAAGAAGCCCTGAGTTCAATCCCTCTCTTCATTTCTCTCCGTTTCTCCAGCTTGAGTGTTTTAAGAAAACAAATATATAACCCTCTATTGCTTGTTATTGTTTGTTTGTTGAGACAGCAAGCATCTCACTATGTGGAACTTTCGATGGCCTGGAACTCACTATATAGAACAGGCCAGGCTCAAACTCACAGAGATTCACTTGCCTCTGCCTCCTGAGCACTTAGGTAAAAGGTGTGTCCCACTATGCCATTATTATTTTTCATCTGTGGCCTATTTCCAGTTTTGTTCTTTAGCCTTGATTCCACTCATTGGATATGTTTTCTACCAGGATGAACCATCTATGACTGCCTTCTGCTAGTTCAAAAACAACCAGTTGTGAACAATGGATTCACGATTGATAAACCCTGTAGACCCAAGTATGTTTTATTAATCTTGGGGTGGGGTAAGCAAGCATTGATGTAAATGGTGAGGATTTCAAAAGTAGTGCCAACCAAGTTTATACAAAAAAAAAAAAGCTAATTAAATCATTCCTGGAGAAATTTTCTAGAAGAAGACATTTTGCGATATTACCCCTCTCCTTTTCTCTCTGTGCTTTCATTGCAGGATCCTGGATCAACTTAGCACTCAAATGTCCAAGTCATCCTATTTCCTTTCTTCTGAGACTAGGACTCACAATGTACCCCAGTCTAGCCTCTGAACTAAAATCTTTATATTCCAACCTCTCAAGTATTGGGGTTAGAGGTGTGTGGACTGCCATATGCAACTCCAGGGCTTAATTTATTTTTTATTTATTTTTGAGACAGAGTCTCATTATGTAGATTTGACTGTCCCAGAACTCACTATGTAGATCATGCTGGCTTCAAATTCACAGAGATCTGCCTGCCTGCCGCTGCTGGGATTAATGACGTGCTAACAAGCACAAGGATCTTCGTGATGCTTTCCTCTCAGTAGCTGATGGAAGCAGAAGCAGGTACCCACAGCTAAGCACTGAGTCATACTCCTAGAAACCAGTTGTAGAGAGGGAGGAGGGATGAGCAAAGGGGTCAAGACTGTGCTGGAGAAACCGGCAGAAACAGTTGACCTGACCTAGTGAGAGCACAGGGACCCCAGTTGTAAAGCTGGGGAACCAGCATTGGACTGAACCAAACCCTCTGAAAGTGGGTGCCAGTTAGGAGGCCTGGGCAGTCTATGCGACCTCTAACAGTGGAGCCAGTGTTTATCCCTAGTGCACAAATGGACTTTGGGAGCCCATTCCCTATGGAGGGATACTATTGCAGCCCAGATACACAGCCTAGGTCCTCCCCCAAATGATGTGACAGACTTTGATGATCCCTCATAGAAGGCCTCACTATCCTTGGGGAGTAGGTGGGGGGGTGGATGGGCGAGTTGGTAGGGGGCAAGGGAGGATGAGAGTGAAGGGGGAATTGATATGTAAAATGATTGTTTCTAAATTTAAAAAAAGAAATTAAAAAGAAAAGAAAAAGAAAAAGAAAAGGGCTTACGCTCTAGCCTCCTCTCTTGCCTTCAGGTTGAGGCTGCAGCTTCTTCAAGGAGCCAGGGAAGACCAAGGTGGCCTGCCTTAAATGGTCTCAGCTGGCTGCAGTCTCTGTGAGTTCCTATGTGCATCTATCTGTCTTTTGTGTCTGGAAAATGCTGTTTCCTTAAAATGGTCTGCCACCCCTGGCTCTTCCAACTTTCCTCGTTCTTCTTCTGCATAGATCCATGAGCCTTGAGGGTGTGTGTGTGTGTGTGTGTGTGTGTGTGTGTATGTTAAAGACATCCCTTTTAGGGCTGAGCACTCCAAAGTCTGTCACTTTCTAGCTTGTCCAGTGGTGGGTCTTTGCTAGTAGTTATCATGGACTCACAGAGACAGGGGACCTACACAAGATCAAGCCAGACCAAAGTCTCATCATGGAGGAGGAGGAGTGGGGACCAAAGTTCCACCCTCGTCAAGCAGCTATTTGTAAATAACAGATGCCAGGAGGAGGGAAATCCGTTTTCTTCTATGGAGCAACACTGGGTATACCAGCCACACTCCCATGCAGGCCTCAAGCTCAGAAGTTAGCCAAAACAAATTAGACTCCATGTTTCTTAGTGGATTTCCCTTTAGTTTTTGTTTTTTGAGAGAAAGAAAGAGTTGGAATGAAGTTGGATGGGGAAGGCATCTGGGAGGAGTTGGGAGGTGGGAAGGAATATTAAAACGTATTGTGTGAAATTATCAAAGAATGAAAGAAGGGTCTGAAGCCTCACCTTACTCAGTTATTCTGAGGCTAGGATCACTGTGGAAAGTTTTGAGGATAGTTTTGTTTACAGCTGTGCATGACAGACTCAAAAGGGGACATCGCATCCCACCCTGATTGCCATCACTTAGTTTTTTCACAGTTCTAGTACTTTCATCATTAGATAATGCAGCAATCAAAAAAAAAAAAAAAAGAAGTAAATCTGGGCATTGGTGGCGCACGCCTTTAATCCCAGCACTCGGGAGGCAGAGGATCTCTGTGAGTTAGCCACCAGCCTGGTCTACAAGAGCGAGTTCCAGGACAGCCTCTAAAGCCACAGAGAAACCCTGTCTTGAAACCCCCACCAAAAAAAAAAAAAAACCCAAAAATCGAAAAAGAATAGAAAACGCAGCAATTGGCACAGAGGAGCACACTGCACAAGCGTGAGCTGTTAGTCAGTCACCTCACCATAGAACCGCCACCAACACTATAGGGACAGTGTGACAGACACAATCAAGATCAATGCATGAACAAATCCCAATAGGAACTAGCCAGAGCCAAGCGTGGGGGCACTTGGGAGGTAGAGACAGGAGAATCAGGAGTTCAAGGTTCACCTGGGCTACATGAAGGGGAGAACCAACTCCTGAAAGGTGTTTTCTGATCTCACGTGTCAGTTGTAACAAACACAACCCCTCCCCCAATAAATAAACACATGAACAATTTAAAGAAAAACTAAGAGGAATTAACCAGCCTAATGGGAGAGCAGGGAGACCAGTTTCTTCAAAGAAGCCCTCTATTGAATAGGTGTGATAAAATCTTGGTCACATCAGCATAAAGCATAGGATGCAGGCCAGCATAGAGGCAGTAGGTTTTCACCTTTGCAACACATTAAATACCTGGATTTCTGGATACTCAGGGGTTTTCATAGCCCAAGGTGACCTTCGTGCTCCACCCTGGGTCTTGCTCCCTTGCTGCTGTTTGCATAAGCTATCAAGGTATCTCAGGTTATCGTGGCTCTGACTGAAGGCAAAGATACGTCTCATTGGAGAACATGGGGGAGGTTCTCCCAGCATCACTTATGGCTATGATTTGACTCTGTCAAATAACAGGGAAAAAGTTTTGCTCTGAGATGGACCCAAATCTTGCAGATGTGTGAATGGAGGATACACAGAAGGATCCGTTGGATGATGCAAATGGGCCTGCAGCCAGGACCCTTGCACAACCTCCTATGGTTTCCCAAGGTTACCTTCTAACTTGTCCAAGGCCATCTACCTTTGGAATGATTGATTGAAGGGTGCGTCAACCTTTGTTCTTTAGACTCAGTAGCTTGACAGGAACCTAGCTAGCTGCCTTTTCCTTTAGAGTCAGATCTTGGGACTCAATATCCTTGAGAGACAGTAGGGGTCCCAAAATCTCATCCCTATTCAGGTCCCTCCCGTGTCCAACAGGCTGACCTTTTTAATTCCTTAGAAGTTCAGGCTAATAAATTTGATGGGTGGTAGGAAGCAACTACGATAATAAAACAGAGATGAAGAAATTAAGGATCAGAATGACGTGGAGGATGCTGGTGGGAAGAATGGCTTGAAGGCAGATGATGAACCTGACCATCATTGGAAGGCATTAAGGGACCCCTGATCATTTGAAAAGTTAATTTTCCTCCTGTTTAGGGTGTCTGGGCAGAGTGGAAGGGAAGATTGGGGGATGGATGGGTATATCAAGATATTTTGTTTACATGCATGAAAATGAAGAATAAGCAAAAGATACTCAATTTTCCAGGGACAGGTGTGAGATTGTGCATACCTTTAATAACATCACTTGGGAGGCAGAGACAGGTGGATCTTTGTGGGTTCAAGGCCAGCCTGGTCTGTGTAGAGAGTTCCAGGTGAGTCAGGCCTACACAGTGAGATCCTATCTCAATAATAATAATAATAATAATAATAATAATAATAATAATAATAATAATAATAATAATAATAATAATAATAATAATAATAATAATAATAATAATAATAATAATAATAATAATAATAATAATAATAATAATAATAATAATAATAATAATAATAATACATTTAAAAAAGAAAAAATAGAAAGTCAATTTTCCAAATCTGCCTGATTTCAGTTACATATTGGTTGAAATATCTTCATGAGGGGCTGGAGAAATGGCTCAGAGGTTAAGAGCACTGACTGCTCTTCCAGGGGTCTTGAGTTTAATTCCCAGCAACCACGTGGTTGGTCACAACCATCTGTAATGAGGTCAGGTGTCCTCTTCTGGCATGCAGGGACACATGGAGGCAGAATACTGTATACATAATTGAAGGGACCAGCTCCCCATTTTGGCAGCCATAACAGCCGAATACATGCTTGCCCTGACTTTGTCTTGGTCACTAGGAGGTCAGATACCTGCCTCGTGTCATGGAACCAATTAGAAGTTAGCTGGTGGTGCTATGCTTTACGGCTCTGGGTGTAACGAAAGTTACACGCGCACGACAATGACGTAGAGAGCATAGCAACCACCCTGGGAGGGCCTATGGGCCATAACAACCAGTTGACCAATCAACACAGGGCAAACCCTCCAAGCCTGGAGGCACACCAATCCTGAGCCTGTGCATACCCCTAGACACTCCCCTTATGCTGCCCTATAAGATCTCTGTGCAGACGCTTCACAGTGTCTTTTCCCAGCCACCTGCCTTGGTGGATGGATGAAAGGCCTGAGCTAACATGGGATTAGCTCGTTAAACAACTACAATAAAGCCTTGTGCAGTCTGCATCAAGCTTTTGCCTCTGCATGGTGATTGGGGTGGCCGTGGTCCTGGGCTGAGATCCTGGGGGCCTGAGTCTCCAGGGGTCTTTCATAATAAATAAAGAAATCTTTAAAAAAATATTTTCATGTGGTTTGTGAATTTGCTGATTGTTAAAGCTATTGAATAGAGAACAAAATTAAAAACTTAAATTTTACTTTAAAATATCGAAGTCACTATGTGTAGTGGCACACACCTATAATCTCAGCACTCTGGAGGCTTGAGGCAGGAGGATGAATATAAGCTTGAGGCCAGTTTGGGATACATAATGAGTTCAGGACTGGCCTGGCTGTGTATTGAGACTCTAGCTCAAGACACTAGAAAGCAAGCAAGCAAATAAAGTCATAACATAACATAACAAAATGTTTTCGTATTTTTGTGTTTCCTTCCACCTGTTAGAAAGTATTTCCCAGCTGACATCAGTTTAAACATTTTCTGTGTTGTAATCTCGATAACTATGGAAACACTGTGACAATTCCTGACTTGTGCCTTCCTTGGTCAGCCCTATCTTTTGATAGAAGTCAGCTTGTATTTCTCTTTTATTTGTCATAAGCAAGGCTTCAGTAACTGGCTTTGTGTGTGCAGTTAACTGGCTTTTAATTTATTTGAATTCTTTCTTGTCCAGTAACAGGAACAAAGTGACTTTGTTGTTGTTTTTTTGAGACAAGGTTTCTCTGTGTAGCCCTGGCTGTCCTGGAA